CCCCCCCCCGATGTCCAAATTCTCGAACGTGCCCCCCGGCCGGCCTCATTCAGGACGACGTCGGGTGGATCGCCCGTAACTTCCCGAAGGATAAGCAGGTCTTGGCCTTTTCGGGCGCCGACCCGGCGACTTACAAGGCCGGGCTCACGGCCCTTGTGGACTCCTCTGGGATGACCCCTGTCGGCGTTAGCAGCGGCGGTGGCGACAGCGGAGGCGGCGACTGCGTCTCTACGGCGATGACGCTCGACAACGGGGAAGCGGCCGTGGCGGCCCTGACGGGATCCGCGGGGGTGGCGACCCAATTCTCGTCCACGGAGCAGCAGCAGCAGCAGCAGCTGCTGCGGCGGCAGGCGGGAGTCGTCGGAGGGCCCACCGTAGCCCCCGCCAGCGGCTGCAGCAGCAGCAGCAGCAGCAGCAACCACAGCGGGAGTTGCGAAGGGAGAGAGGTCGTCGACGACGACGACGACGGGAACGCAGAGAACCGGCCTCCTCCAGGAACAGCAGCGGCGGCCGCTGCTGCTGTCACCACTGCTACTGCTGCTGGCGGCGGCGACGACGACAGGGGGCGGGGAGCGCCGGCGGCTCCTGCTGCTGCTTGCGTCCGCCGCCCGCCGCGAATCGACACCGAGGCGGTCACCAGCAGGGGCACCGTGGTTGTGGGTGGAGTCGTAGTGCCCCCGCCCCCCCCGGCATCTGTGCCTGGCGGCGGCGGCGGCGGCGGCGGCGGCGGCGGTAGGAAGGTGGCATTACCGGGGGGGCCGATACGGACGCTGGGCATGATGCGGGAGGAGTCGGCGCGCAGGGCGCAGGGGCTGGGGTCCATGTACGGGATCCACGGGCAGGGCGCGGTGAAGGGCGCCAGCGTTAGCGTTGGCGCCGGCGAGTCGACGGCGGCGGCGGTGACGGACGCGAACACGAACGCGAACACGACCGGCGCCGGCGGCGGCTCGGGACTGCCGTCGTCGTTTTTGGCGAAGGGACTGAAGGGGGCCGGCGGGAGGGACGTTAGCCTGGGCAGCAGCAGCACGACCAGCATCAGCAGCGGCACTCCGAGCATCAGCACGCCGCGGGCGAGGGTGCGCTCGTGCAACGAGAACGAGCTCTACGGGACGTGGTTTGCCTAAGGTGGCCTTACGGGGGGGCGGGGGGGCGGGGGGGGAGGAAGGAAACGCTTGTCTGCCTTCTCCTGACCAGCGTGCCGTGTTTTTTTTTTTTTTCCATGTGAGGGTTTTGCGTTTTTTTTCGTGTGTGTGTGCGGATTTGGAGTCATCGTGATGTAGCAGGTGTGTGTGGAGGAGGAGGGGTTATGGTCTGTCTGTCTTTTCCTTTTTTTCGTTTCGCGGCTCTGTTTGTTGGGCTTGTGCTCGTTTTGACTAAAAAAGTGTTCGTTGATGCGGTGAGGCACATACATACGTTTTGTTTCCCTCCCAATGTTTTTTTTGTTGTTTCTTTTTTCTTGTCCACTATGCGTATCACAACCAAACCGGGCGCGAGGTGCGAGGTGCGAGGTGCGCGTACGACGATGTTCTTTTTGCCGTAACGGTGAGATTTTCAGGTTCAGCAAAATCGGCGGAACTATTTGGCCTTGTCTCTCCCTCCTGGGTTATAGGGGTGTGCACAACGCACCGTTCTTTCTTTCTTTCATCCTTCGACTGGGGTTGGTCGTGTGGACGCAGGCCATCAGGAAAAAGAAAGGGGTACGGCTGCTGTAGTTTTTGCAAGCAGCGCTCTGTGCGCGCTGTTTGCTACGTCACCGGCTGTCTGGTAGGCAATGGCGTGCTTGTTGTGTGGGTCTTAGTTGTCTCTTCCCGCCCCTGGCGGAAACGGGCGCGGGCCGAGGGGGGGTGACGCAGGATGGCCAACGAGAGAGACAAGGGGGAGGGCAGGGGTATTTTTTTGTGTTTTTCCGGGATGGTGCAGGAGGAGATTGATTTGGTTGTTCGATAGCATTAGAGTGCGCGAGCGGGGCGAAACAGTGGCGCTGCCGGTGCACAAACCGTAGGTAGCCTCGTTGCTGATCGCGTATGGTATTCTATAACTTGCCTTTTGTTGGGTGTGTGTCCACCGCCAGGTAAGAACGACGCTGATAGGAGTGTAGCCTTGAAGCCTTGTATATGCATGCCGTGGATGTTGGTGTTTTTTGGGTGGGGTAATATTAAACTTTTTTCATGGCGTCGGCAAAAGACGTACACACACATCTCTGGCGTGAGGGACGAAATAGGGATAGAGACTACTGCTGCTGATGCTGCTGCTGCTGCTGCTGCGGGTCATTTTCTGTTTCTAGTGTGTCAGTCTTGTGCTGCCGTGAGCTTCCTATGGGCTTACGAAAGGGGTTGGTCCGAATAGATCTCTTGCGAATAGCAATGTGCAGATATGTATGTGTTATTTCGGTGCGTGAACCGCCGCGACCGAAAGACATGGTGTATGATGATGTTGATGGGGTGCGGTTTGACTCTATTCGGGAGGGGGAAGGAGGCGCGTCAGAAGGGAGCGGTGGACGTACGTCGCGTTTTGGGAGGACTATTTACTAGTGACCTAGCTCCCTCGGGTGTTGCTGTTGTTGTAATGTTTCGTGTTCTGTCGGCAGGGCTAGTCGTTGTGTCTTGTCTGCTTGCTGCCCCGTGCTGTGAAGAAGAAATAAGAATCCCCGAATCGCTGCTTGCTGTGGTCCCTTGTGTTCGTCTGGTCTGAGATGTTGTGAAACTGCTGTGTGGTCTTGTTGACTTTCTTGCGTTAGTTAGAGGCGTTTGTGTTTCTTTTTACTTTTTTCTTTTTTCGTGTTTGTCTGTCTTTGCGGTTGGTCGCAAGCCAATAAACCGCGCTTGGACGCACTATAATGGTACACACGCCTTCGTGTTGTACCATATTTTTTCTTTTTTGTCCTACCTTGTGTGTTCGAAAGCTGCTGGATGTGTTGCCCCACTCGGTATCCACACCCAGGACGGGACGGGGAGGTGGAGGGGGCAGGAGGAGAGCGAGAGGGTTCAAATTCTCGCGCTCCGTTATCTTTTCGGTGTGGTTCTGTTTTCGGATAAACATGTCGTGTTCCGTTTGGCTTGGCGAACACCTTGATCTTCTACTTACTTCTCCTTGGATATTTTCTCACGTTGCGCTACAATTGTTTGGAGGTTACCGTATCATGTATACAAATCATATGGTACATTATTCAGGTTCCGTTTGACTTAACCAACACCAGGTTTAAACGTTCTACAGGAAGTGCCTATTACTTTAGGTGCCGGAGGAGGGCGGGGGACGTTATGGTAGCCGGAGGAGGGCTAAAAGGCAAGAATGCAACAGGGGCAGAGTCATCTTCTGAAAAGCGCGGTGGGCGTGATAGTAGTCACGCACGGGGTGAACGTGCTCACGCACCAACATCTCGACCGCCATTTTTCATTTTTTTCTGCTGTTTTTTTCATGTTGCCGCCCAATGGTCCCAGTTTTTTTTAGTGCGTGTCTGTCTGGCCTTTTTTTTTGTTTTCTCACCTTGTTTTCGCGGCCTCTTTTTTTGCCCCAGCCAGGGCGGGTTGTCTGTTCCGCGTATTTGCGGGGAGATCGATTGGACACCGCTAGTGGCCGTGTTGGTGCGAATTGTATTGTACCACCACTGAAGTAGTCAAAACAACAAAAAGCACCCGGTTCGATTCTCGCTGCTCTCTCTGCTACGGGAAACGACAGGACTGACTGCTGTGGCGTTGGCCCGTTTTTCTTTTTTTTTTCCTCTGGTCCGTCGAAGTACGTTCGATCGATGCCACACACGCGTGGAAGAAGCGTGTGTTTTTTTTTTTTTTAAGCCTTTATCAGGCGCGCGGACGAAAACCACGTCCCCAAGTAACCACGTTGTGTGTACGCGTGTGCTCCTCTTGTTTGCTTGCAAGGTTAAGGTTGTGGTACCGGGCAAGAGACGAGTAACGAGGTCAGAATTAGCAATGAGTCCTTGTTTCACCAGTTTTCATCGGCAATTTTTAGCGTGTTTTTTTATTTAGTCATTTTATATTTGAAAGGGGTTTTGCGAGAAAGACCTGCACCGCTTTTTTGTGGCGGGGGGGGGGGGGG